ATGGTGCAAGGGCACGTTTACAAAATGTAAACGGCTAGCAACTAGAGGGTCATCTCGCAGTACCTGTTGGTAAAATGAATACCTTATGTTACAGCCCACTACTGAAGATAATGGACTGAAAAGAACTAAAGATTATTTGACATCTACAACAAAACATTTTAAAGAGAAGTTGTTTCTTACATAGAACAAAGCCTGTTTCCCACAGGTTAACATCCTCTTCTATACTACTGCTGTTATAAGGCCATTAGGACTCTTCCATACAACTCTCATTTTGGTTCCCTCTCACATTCCATAATTGGATTCCCTTCCCCTTCTCATTCCTTGAGAAATGCAAATTACTTGTCATTCTCCCTAATTACTGAGTGGGAGCAAGACAATTCTATGCCTGTTTCCAAACCACACATGTACTAAGTGGCCTGCTGACAAGACTGTGAGATGGAAGAGGTAGGGGGAAGAAGCTGCACACAGTTTTGCCTTGTACAAAACAGTAACTTTCAAGAAACTTACAGGATGTCCATATTTCAAAATGCATTTGCTTCTGCCGATGATGACTCCACAGAGGAACGGACAGAAAACCTGAGCAACTGCACAAGCTCGTCCCTGAGAAACCAAGGCACAGATATGCCCCTTGGAATCAGCCAAGATCTTGTCTCATAACTTTGACTTTCATTATGGCTTCTAGTTTTAATTCCCAGTTTAATTTTAATACGTGTTATACAGGTTTTGAAAAAACTCACCGTTTTATTACGAAGTCTAATTATGTCCGAAACAGAGCCAGCTCCACAGTATTCCATAACAATCCACAGATCTGTGTTCTTAAAATAGCTGCCATAGTACTTGACAACATAGGGACTAAATGGAAAAAAGTTAGATAAATAGATTAATTCTCAGTAGGGAAAAAAAAAAAAATCATCATCCAAGTGTTAAAAATTACAGTTTGACACACACTAACACAGCTAAAGAACAAGAGTAATCAAATGCATTTTAAAATTTTAAGTAGCTTAACCAATGCCTTGTTAGAATAAAGTCCGAGTGCTTAATAAAATTATAAAGGCACTACTACATATATCACGAGCTTTCAGTGATCTTCAAATACAGATATAGTTTTTCACCAAACAATAGTCTTCCAATATAAAGCTCTGGTTTTCCCTCCTCTAAGGTCTCTCAATTTTTAAACACTCCTCACAATGTCATTGGATGTTTCCATTCTTAAAAATATTGCCTTGTTTTCTTCTCTTCTAAGCAAAAAAACCATGGAAACTCACCCATGTTTTCCTGGTTTGCAAGCATGAACGTTTTTCAAGTATAGATCTAGATTTTCATATTAAACAGAATCTAGTGTTGGTTTAAAACATGACTTCAGGATTTGCAAATGCATTTTTATAAAGTGTCTCATGTGAAGAGACAGTACTCTCATAAACAGAACATACTGCTTTGCTACTCATCTGTTTGTCACTTGACATAATGCTTCCTCAGAGACACTTGCAAAAGAAAGGCAGAAACAGATGTGGTATACATAACAAGGATCTTCCTTCAGAAAAGTGATTAGATGGTGTATTTATGGAAGTAAAATGTTGGAGGTTTTTTTTGCAGGAACTTAAGCACAGGTTACAGTTAGATTGCCATCGATCTCCCACAAAGTCAGGAAGAAAGATACAGAGATCTCAGGTAGGGGCTTCTGGTCAGAACACCTGCATTGTAGGATGGAATCAATCACTATTCTGTTTTGGAGCGAGGAACTGTATTTTAGGATCAACATGTTTGGCAATGACTTTTTAAAAAAAAAAAAAAAAAACACACACAAAAAAACCCCACACAGTTAAGAAAAAGAAAGGACCTATGGTTGCCTCCTGCAACATGGTGCTAACTTTATAAAAGATTGGTCAAAAATATCGGCAAACCACTTCATTAAAGAGCAACTGTCATTACTATAGGAACTTGCCTTTACAGAAGGCAAGGTGGGTCAATTCCCTCCTAACTAGTCAAAGTGTCTACCAAACAAGCATGACATACTGATCTTGCCCCTTATAAATTCCTGAAGTGACGAAGGTTACAATTACTTCAAGAAAACCCACTGATTTTCATGACCATCTCTTGCCAGATTTACATTATGCTAGTATTCCCACAAAATTTGTGTGTATTATTACAAATCAGGACAAGATAATCTTTTCCAAACATCAAGTGCTGTAGAATCTCAAAACACTGTTCACATTTGCTTAAAGCCTTTTACGTATCAACTGCTTGTCTCAAAATCTACATTTTTCCCCCCTTAAAAGAGCTTCAGTACATACAGCATAGCTAGTTCTAGAAACAGGTATCGAGGGGAAAAAAAAAAAAGGTAAAGTGTTAATCCTTGATCTTATGTTTGAGATGCTGCAACAGCTCAGTGCTTTTCTGTAATATCTGTGGAATCATCACTTGTGAAAATAAAGTACTACAAAGTGCATCATCCCTCCCGTCAGTACTGCACAGCACTGTTATTTGCACGAAGGCACATGATACATATACAAGCACATGATACAGAGCTGCAGCCCAACCCTTCCTTTCAGCCAGAGAACGGCGGCATCTTGTCCAGTGAAAGAAGAGTTTATGTTCTAAAATTCTGAACTCTTACCAAAAAAAAATATTATACAATAGTCCATGTCCAGTAGACACTAAATGCAACACGTTGTTCAAAGAAAAGCAGGACAAAGAACAAGGGTAGAGGGAACACAGGAATAAGACGGTGAGTATGCCCACATAGGACAAGAATGAAAGTAGCACAAGAAGCATAGTACAGAAGGCAAGGTAAAAATTTAGAAGATTCTCAAGTATCACCACTTCTTTTCTCTGTCAGTATAGTGCACAGACATTTGTTTTAAGTATCTATGTCAATTCTGGCCTAGTACTAACAGGCACACACACACACACCCCCTACACCACTGCTTCCAGTCAGGTTACATGGCCCAAGCCTGTGCAGCGACTAAGGGCTGCCATCCTATCATTAACCCCACAGAAGAAATCTTTCTGAGAATTCATAAGGTGCCATTTTCCAACTTATTCAATGTCTTCCTTTATGTAAGAGGAAAGAAATAAAGCAGAGCAGATAGAAAGAAATAAGAAAACAGTAACAAGAAGAATCGAAACAAACATATTTTAACTCCTCTCCCAGTGCACAAGAAAAGCTGAGGACCTACTCTGGGGATCAAATCTAGTTCCACAGTTAAGCAGACTAACAAGATTGCTGCTTCCTTTTTAATCTGTACCTGTTACAAAACTCCAACCGGCCAGACAAAAATAGTGTCACAGGGATGAAAAGGATTAAGAAAAGCCCCAAAAGAACCTCAAGGGACCCAAATCCTTTTAGTATCACCCAAAATAATCTTATCACACATCTTCATAGAATACAGGGAAAAATATAAATCCTTCCTTTTTCCCCCATTCCCCTGCCTACACATTTAACAAGCTTCTAGCATTCAGAGCAGTCAATCCCAGAAGGGAACACATTACAAGGTCCAGTGTGTTCATAGGTCACAAATACTCAGATCAGGGTTTTCAGGCAGAGGCTCTAAAGAAGTTCAAAGAACAGCTGCATTTTTGTGTGCTAGATACAATGTACTCTGAGGTCTCTATCCCTATCTTTAAGTATAAATATTTGAACCTTCTCCTTCATGACCCCATAAGACAAGATGCTGAGGAGCAGTACCATCAAGCTCCATATAACACCTGAGCAAAACATTCAGTAATGAATCTGCATGAATTCAGACTGCATTAAAAGGATTATCTTTTAATCTGGGATGAGTACTGCTCATTGCCAAACAAGAGCAAATTTTTCATTTAAAGACAGAACTTCAACACTGGCACACCATAAAAGCACAAACAAAACTGCGAATTAACAGACCATTTGCTACAATACAATTCACCAAGTTAATGACTAAAGCAATCAATATTTTAAAGCAAGTTTCACCTAACTAGAGTGCAGAGCTTTCCTGTTTGTACTTCGGGTCACAAACAATAGATTCTTGTATCACTGATCAGACATGAATAAAGACTCACTCTAGCAAATCTGACTTTGAAGTTACAGCCAAAATCTTAAAATATTATCCCCAAAAATATACAAATAAAAAACTGATAACTCTGTAGAAGAGAGGAAGTGCAAGCTAACTTCTGCATTGTTGCAGACACTGGATGTTAAGGCTTCCATTCCTACAATATTGGCAATAAGATATCTCATTCGTCAACAAGTATAAGGTAACAGTCCTTCTTCAGAACTGTTAGAAGATTGTTCCCTTCTAAAAAGGTATATTCCTGCATGAAAAAGACAACCAATAGAATACCATTTTGGAAGTTAACTGCTAGTCAACAGTCTTGTGCTAGAAACATCTTTATCAATATTCTAAAACAGGTAACTGTGAATTCACAAGGCCTAAGACATTTACAAGAAATATTAACCTTCAGGCTTGCCAGTGCAAGTAAAGTAAAGCAAGCATGGAGAATTCTAAGCAGAGACAAGTACTTATTCTTTCAACAGTTTGTGTGATGTACACTATTTGTACTTCCTCCAATACAAGCCAAGGATAGGAGGAGGTCTGCAAAGTGGTTGCTCTAAGTAAAATGCCCAACACAGACTGCTTTAATTTTTCATATAAAAAATCTGCAGCTGCATATATTTCAGCTATATTCGCAAGTACAAATACATTTTCACATAGACTTTTAGAAAGAGAGCAAAATTGTCATACCTACCTGTCACATTGTTGCATTATAGAGATTTCTTTAATTATTTCTTGAAGATCTGACTCCACAGGGACCTGTTTAATTGCTACAACTTGTCCAGACTCCTTGTGTATTGCTTTAAACACACTACCATAAGACCTAAAAATAAAAGAGGGCATTTTTTTTTTTTTAAACAAGATAAACTGCTTTTCATTTCCATTATGCAGAAACTTTTAAAAGTCACAGAAACCGTATGTTCATGCAGAAGTTTGAGAGCTTTTTCAGGATGCAAAGAAAATCAATTCAATCAGGACCTCAGGAAGGACATGCCTCCAAAGAGTGAATCTTTGTCAAGATGTAGTGTATCTAACTCCAGTACAGGCATGAGCACTTTTGCTGCCTTAATAAACAAGGGGCATCAAAAAATGCATAAATATATTTAGGGAAGCATGGAAGTCTACTGATGCATGCATTTGCTTTATTATTAAAAGTTGTCTAGAGAAGCATTCCTTAGGACATTTACAGTCACTATCTCTGTAACTTAATATTCAACACATGCTTTATATACAGTTTCCCTCTGATCCCATCCCCTCATAAATAGCTGCACTTACCCTTCACCAAGTTTCTCTAGAACATCAAAGACTTCTTCAGGCTGCTTAGTTAAACTATCTTCACTTAGCTTTTTCAGTTTGCTAAAAGACAGACAAAAGTTATTTGTTCGTTTGTTTGGGGGAAGACACAGAACTCAAGCAAATTTTCATACAAGTGAGCAGACAGAAAAAAAGATTATAAAGACAGACATACTCCAATTAAAATAAAATGCCTAATTCAAGTTCAGTAATAAAATTTTAATCAACCATCATATACAATTACTGTCATTATCACTTTCCCACTAACGTTTACTCAATTCAAAGCAGCATGGGACCAATTCACTCTCCAAACCACTTCCTTTGCTAAAGTAGAAACAGCCTGAGAATACAATAAAGCTTACCTTTCGTCAAAAAGCAGCCAGCATGCAAACACATGCTCATTACTGCCTGGAGTACACTGGTTTATACATTCTCAGATAACAACACAATCTTTCACTCACATGAAGTGCCCACTTTCTAAATTATACCACTCATAAGCCAGTGAATTATAGCACGTTAAAAGCAGAATCCAGAGTCAAGATGACTCTGGGAGCATATTGTATCAACTCACCTTCTCAGGTGGCAGCAGAACACTGAAATTCCAAGAGCTGAGTACTCTAAGAGCTATTGGGACAGTCTTTTGCATCTTTGTTAATGTACATAGGGACAGGTGCAACAAAATCTCTACTTACATACCACCATCATATTTTGCCCTCCAGCTCTCTCTCACACAGTCTCAAATCACTCAGTATCACCCTACTATTGCTCCCAGCACTTCCAACTCACTCAACCACTATCCTTTGTCCCTTATAAGCAGTTCTTGCCTTTCTCCTGGTCTCCAGCATTCCCATTCATCCAGCCCCCCAGACTCCTGTCAGATCTCAGAACACAACTTGGCTGCAACCTTGTGATGGAATTGACACCAAACGTAGCACAGGAAAATATAACCATGCACACATTGTGGTGAGACTGGGTAGCTGCAACATGTAAATCCTTCAGCCTAAAAGTTACAGGAAATTTTGCTGCAAGACTGAAATAACAAGTTAACTCTATATGATAGCCAAGGGTACTATTAAAGTGGAAGATGAGCTGAAGAATAGCAGGTGCTGTAGTGTTAGATATAGACAATGTATTCCATATGCAAGGGGGGGGGGGGAAAAAAAAAAAAAAAAAAAAAAAAAAAAAAAAAAAGGACTTTGAAGCACAGCATATCATTGAGAACTTATGGAAAATATGTTATCCTGTGACACTTTCCTGGAAATGAATGAAAAATAGGGGGAGGGAGGAGGGCACAAACAGAAAAGATTGTCAAATCTAGCATTGGAAGAACAGTGTTCAAAAGAAACTCCTTCATATTAAGGGACGCAATTCTGCAATATACAGCACTAATAAAAATAATCAAGTGAAATGACTGATGAAGGAATTCCTGAGCCAGAAGAAACTTGTTACTGCAAACCATCTAAGTAAAGACAAAAATTTAAAGTAATTGTATAAGCACACAGGTCATACGGATTAGTGTTGAACAAGGAAAGCAAGTTGGGGGGGTGGGAGGGTGTACACACTTATATATCAAAAAAATATTTCACAGATGTAGCAATTATATGAATACAAAAGCATCCACAATCAGTAAGGAAAGGTATATGAACTGTTGTAAAGACCATAAAGTTTGCTACAGTGAACAGGCAGGAAGCTGGCAAACATGTGTGTTTAACAGAGAATAAAAATCTCCACAGCAGAGGAAGGCACAACTCCTGAACATGAAGAAAAACAGCAAAAAAAACTCAAATGAGAGCAGTTAAATAAAGTCTGTAAAAGTGGCATACAAATCAAACACAGGACCACATAACAACTCTGCTTTCTTTTTTTCCCTCTCCCTGCTTCTTAGAGACTACAAAGCAGAAAAATACAACTTAAATCTTGCAGTGAAGCACATATTTAATTACTGAACAAGTGTAAGTTGAGACAAATAAAAAGAAGAGGGGAACAAATATTTTGCAGGCAAGTATTAAAGAAACAAATCATTAATTTTGTTTCTTTTGTTTCCAGTTCTTCCCTCCCCCTTTTGATCAGGTTATCTGCAGCTTTAAAGGCAGCATTCATAGAGTAAGTTACTGCAATCATCCTCTGCTTTCCACCAAAAAAAAGCATGCACGGTATGCTTATGATACCAGCAGAGCCTCAAAAAAATAAAAACGCATGACCATTAGCTGAGTCTCTCACTTGACTGAAGAGCTGCATAATAGAAGATATACTCAAGAGAACAGTGGAGGGACTGAACTTTTGAGTAACTGCAAGAAAAGGGAAAACATACAGTAACTTCAACCAAAGAGGTCTAAGAAGAGAACACTTCCACCTGCTCAAAGGAGCAATATGTGCTAATGTGAGAAGGGAAAAAAAAAAAAAAAAAAAAATCCATACCGAAAGGGTTCCATCCAGCAGCACAATTAACACCAAGGCACTGGGCGTGCTTGGGAAGAGCTAGGGAAACCATCATGAACGTGGAGACCAAATAAATACGCATTCTGTAGTTTTAAAACTATTTTCACATTATCCAACTCTGTCAAATGTGTTGTGAGACCAACTAACACTTAACACTAAGGTAGCTAAATACTAAACCTATTTAGAGGAAGAAAGATATGTCAACCTCAGGAATTTCATCACCAAACACACTGCTCAGAGTGCTTCACACTCTTCCACAAATATATTGCAAGAGTACAGATGTTAGGTCCGCTGCTTGAGTGACACTATTAATACCACAGTCCTTTCAACCATAGAAAGATCCTAATGACTCCAACTGCTTAATGATGTGTATTTCTAGAGGTTTAATAGAATTCCCAGTTCTCTAACTACAGAACAGCACACAATATACCCTGAAAGGGCTGCAATAAAGAAAGTGTTTATGAAAACTTCAGGAGAAGCAAGGAGGAGGAAGACAACTGTTGTAACTGGCTGTAAAGCACTAAGTAGAATATAAGAAGAAAAGACTAAGTATTATCTTATGATATTGGCTAAAAGCAAGCAACTAAAGCTTGGGAAAGAGAAACACATCTAAGACATCAAAATCAGCTTCTTAATCAGGAGTTTGTATGAATGTGTGTCCTACTACCCACACTTTGAAAATGGGCAAGATAAGACATATAGAGCCAAGTACTTCAGAAAGACCACTGCTTTTTTAAAAGAATTAAAGCGTTCTACATGGGAAGTGAATACTATGAGCACCCAGCAAAACACCTACCTGCAAAGGCATGACTAGAAATATCAGGGGGGTGGGGCAGGAGGCACAACTGAAGAGACGAAGGGCTCAAAAACTGTCAGAGAGAAAAAAGGTATCTCACTCCTCTCCCTCATGGGTCCTCTACTTTCATGACACAAGCATTTAAAAGAGAACAAACCAGCAAATTCTGGCCACAGGATAAGCACTATAGATATCTATATGTAAGAAAGTCTAAAGGAGATGTGTAGAAGACAAGTCTAAAACCTGGGGAGAAAACCATCCTGCTTTTGTTTGCTCTAGAAAATCATCAGGTAGTGACAATGGGCTATTTCTTTAGTTTTCCAGGAAAGCTGTTCCTGAAAGCAGGAGAACTAACTGAACTAAAATTCTGGGACAACAAGAGTTGTCAAAAGGATTTTCTTGTTCCAAGCAGGTTTGACTTTCTGCATAGTGCCTAGCCTCTTAAACAAGAAAAATACACTCTAGCAGAGAGCTGTACTTTTACAAATCCAGCTGATGAGAGAAAACATTCATACTTAACATAACCAGAATCTTGCACATCATGGAGTATGTCAGCAGAACTCCATATAACCAAACGCAGAAGAAACTAGAAACAGTGAGAGGCACCCAAGACGACCAATGCCATAAAGATCAGAAAAATCTGAATTGGGACGTGAAAGAGCAAGAGATATGTTCGTTCCCCCGCACCCCCACCATTAAAAAGCAAAGTAAGAGTTTAGCGTCCTATGGTCATTATGTGCAGACTTTACAAAATAAACTGGTGATGTGCTACAGAGGTAGGCATAAAAAAAACCCTGAAAGCTAACAAAGAAAAGTAAAGCAAGACTAAAGAATAGAAGTCCATCAATTACTGTCATGAGTTATGGAACACTGGACAGCTGCTCCATGAAACATCAATATATGCAGTTTATTTTGCAGAAGAACTACCACACTAAAACATTTAAAAAGAATGGCTGGGATCGATTATACTGATATATTAAAAGAGAAGCTAGTAAGAGAAATCACTGCAGTCACCAGAAATAGAAGTGAAATAAGAAAGCCTTAAGACATTTACACTGCTTTACACCTTTCACACAAGTAGAAGTAAGTTTAAGACAGTTTATGTTGTTATATTGTGTACTTACATTTAGCTTTCTACCAGTAAAACCCAAGCAAACTTACATTTTTGTTCCATCATTTTCAGGAGGAATCTGACAATTGTCATCCATGTGACCTTACATGCCCATTGACACAATAATTAGAACCAGCTTATTTTTCACAGAGAGTTCATACTTTAAAAACAAGTCTTCCCCTTCCCACAAAACTTAAATTTCAGTGAAAATTAAACTGCCTGAGTTTAAGAAAAGGACTGGAAAACATTAATTAACAAGCTCCATGCTTGTTAAGAGGCCTTTAATTTAGCAGCATTGTGCAGGAGATGAGCAAGATTAAAAACTATCAATTTGACAGAATTGTGTTTCTAGCTACTTTTCCTTTTCACTTGTATGCAATCTATCTCCTCATGCTTGAGTATGCCAATGCATACAGAAAAATGCAACAATAACAATAGGGGAAAATTACAAGACAGGCAAATTTTGTAACTGACTATTTCAAGAGTGAATATCCTTTTTAGTGAAGAAAAGTAATATAAAGCACACCTGAAATACAGTTAGAAATTCAGATGCAAGAAAAGTGTGTCAACTACTGTACAAATTGTTCACTATAAAGTCAGAACACCTACTCTAATTTACTTTAAAAAGTAAACAAAATTGTTCTGAAAAGGACTCCTCCTTAGAAGTCGTTTGTCGCTGTTGCAGTATATTGATCAAACAAGAAAAGCTAGTGATTTTGACAGCATGCCCATTTAAAAGCCATCCCGGCCTAGCCTGTCCCTTGGGCACCATCACTGCTACTTTCTGAAGGGCTGTTTTAAAGATATACACAACACACAACTGTGTTCCTTCACGGGGAATGCAAGTGCTCCTTACCCGTGAAAAAACACTGGGACTCAGGGACGTCCATGCAGCTTTGAAGTGCTCACATGAAATTCTTGCCACCTCTAGATGAATATCTCACACTAGATATCAGGGCAATAGATCACTGTCGGTAACCGCTCCTGTGGTCAGTGGACACCAAAGTAAAGAAGTCTAGTGCTCACATATATTTTGCCAAGTCAACATGGTGTGTCCGTCCCAAGCCACTACTGCATCCACAGCAGGCATCAAAACATATCAGCCCACAAGAAGTAGTCTGTACTCCTTCTAGACTTGCAGAAAAAGGGGGTCGCCTAGCAGAAGAGTTGGGAATGCCAATCAGAAACTGTAAAAAACAATGGATAAAGGGGATATATATGCACAGGCTGCAAACATTTACATCTTATGAAAAACTGAGTTCAAATCTTCCCTTCCACCAAAGGATTAAATCCGTTAAGTTCTCATCACATTTAAATTTCCAGAAATAAGCTTCAAAAAACATGGAGAGTATAAAAACATGCCAGAGAGTTTAGAAGTTCTCTCATCAGCTTTTTAGCTCTTCTTAACTGAATCTAAGGATTTAAACAGCTCCCCACTCTCAATTAGGCCAGGCACTCCAGCTAGGCAATAGATACAGCAAATCCCAAATCTTCCAAAAAAAAAAAAAAAAAAACCACCAAAAAAACCCCCCTACTCTTGTAGATTATGCTAACTTCAAGTTTCATTTTCAATTTGATATCACCACATTCCAGGCTTTGCACTGGTGCTGATAACACTGATTATTCGTCAGAGTTTCACATTTCTTCCCCCAAACCTTTGCTGGTGCCTCTTCTACTTCCTTTATTTGAGAAATGCAGTACTGTCAGTCTGAAACTACAGTGTAGGCCTGTCCTTCCTCCCACTATTGCCCGCTAAAAACACTCCACATAACACCTACTAATCAATTCTTGGTCAAAGTTTTCAGTAGTAGATACCACTTCGTTGCCTGCTAAAAACACTCCACATAACAACTACTAATCAATTCTTGGTCAAAGTTTTCAGTAGTAGATACTGTTACTTGATGTATTACTGGAGAAAAAAAAAAAAAAAGTTCAAGACCACGTTCTTCCCAAGTCCTGCCATCCCACCGGAAGCTATTTTAAAGAATTTTAAAGGTTTTAAATGTATATGTTTTAAAAGGGAAGGTAAAAGTTGATTTATTATCTTCTACCACAAATTTATATTGTGCTGTTCCTAGATTTTTCATTAAATTAACAGGAAGCAAGAGTAAACTACTTGGAGCTCTAACACAGTAAGTATGTATGTAAATTGTGTCACTACATTCTGTATACCATACAACTGCAATCTATGTAGTATATAACTACATCCAAGAAAGGATTATTCCAATTTAAATATATACATACAATTAAAGAAAAATTATTTTGTGCATTAAAATGACAGCGTCACATTTAAAGAAAAAGCTTTTGGTTTCACATCATTACACATGCACAAATAAAGAAGTCCTATCATAACTGCTCAAAAAACCCCAACCCCACGTAGAAATTAATATGACCAGATATCCTATATACTTCAGGAAATACAGATACTGTGGGAATGCTCTTGATTTTTGCCTCTTCCCACTCCCTAATTTGCAACTGCAACTATGCAACGCCCACCCCCACAAGCATCCCTCCGCCAGCGGGACACAAGGGGCACTTTAGAATGTGGAAAGATAAGAACAACTACTTAACTCGGTTTCTTCTACAGACCTGAACTATAAAGTGCACAGACACCCACCCCCAGGCCACAAAAGACTCTTCTCGTCTATAAAGTTTCCCCCGTTTCCCATTAAAACGTTCCTCTTGTAACTCAAGCAACCCCTAAGGGTTTACCCCCAACCGGACGTTTAGCCAGGACGGTTATATCGGGGACACCCCCTCCACACACAGGAGACTTTCCCCAGCGCAACACAACCCCTCAGCCCCCGCCGTTCCCCCGCCGGCCCAAGGCCTCACGCCGGCCATGCCGCCCCCGGAAGGGGCCGCCAGGGATGATCGTTACCTCTTAGGCGCTGCCTGCTCCATGCCGCTGCTGGCCCCCCAACCCCGGCGTCCGGAGGGGTGGGGGGGGGGCTCTCAGCCGAGCCCCTGAGCAGCACCGACCCGGTAGCCGCTAAACTCCTCACAACTTTCGTGGGAGCTCGCTGGCCCTTTAAACGGGGCTCGCGCCCTCCCTCGGCCGCCGCCGCTCCCGGCCTCTCTCCGGCAACCACCACTACCGCTACCTACCCGGCTGCCGGCCGAGGCCCGCCCCTTCGCGCCTCTCAGAGGTTACAACCCGTGCCACCGCAAGTGCTGATTGGGCGGCGCGGAAGTCGTTCGGCGGGACGAGGCCCCACCCCACCACGGGAGGAGCGGGCGGCGTCGCGCCGGCGGGAGGGGAAGAACATGGAGGCGGCGGTGCCGCTGGGGGCTGAGGCGCCGCGCTTCCGGCATGCTCCGCGCGGCCGTAGCCCCCCGCGGGGCACGCCGGGAGGGGTAGTCCTGCCGATGAACCTGCCCTCCCCTCCCCGTTCCCGCAGGAGGGGCCTGGCCCGGGGCGGCGAACCGGGCGGCGAAGGAACAGAGACGGGGGCCCTGAGGCGCCGCCGGGGCGAAGGACGGCCGTGGCGCCCCCACACGCTCACCTCACGCCCCGGCTCTTGGAGCTGGGCCTTCGGGCGAAGGCAGGCCTAGGGGTGAGCCGCGGCCTGAGGCAGAGGCTGAGGGCGGCTCTTCCCCCCGATCAGCCACCCCCGGGCCCTGTCGCCGCGGGGCGATGCTGCGGGGCGGCCTGCGCCTTTCATCCGCCTGTCTGCACCAGCCAAGGGACAGCCGCGCTTGGTGCTGAACTGCATCCAGCCCCTCCTGGAAACGTTAAGTCTCTTCATGGACAGCTGGCTCGGCAGCACAGCGGAGAGGAAGCCCGAAGTTAGTCATGGCAGGGATGGGGGGCAGCTCTCCAAAGCTGGCTCCGGGGACGCAGTACAGCTCTGAGGTGAAAAATGCTGGCACTTGGCTTTTTAATGCCAAAGCATACAAGTTACCCCGCAAAGCCATAGGAAGCTGTCACGTAATTATTCAAGCAGCTGATTTTAGGACGTTGAGTACCATGTGACAGTTACCTGCAATTTCTCCACCTTACAACTTCTGACTTCTGCTGTTTGTGTAGGAGTTTAGGATACGCACTCACAAAGCATCCAAGTAGATCCAGCCAAGTCAACACAAGAAAAGCTTAAATGTACAAGCCAATTTCTGTATCCTTTCCTGAAAGTGGGTTTATTTGCCTAACTAATGGAAGTTCACGGTAGTGAAACACTTAACGCAAGATCCATACAAATACTGAGGTGCCCAAGGTCCGCTTCAAACTGATTTTACATGTGCAAGTATAGCGGCACTCCCCCTTAAAAAAAAAATCCACGTTCTATACCTAATTTCATCTCTTTGATGTGGATTAGCAAGGGAATTTTGAATGAATGAAGTCCTACTGTTGTGCAAGTCCTGTGCTTCAGCTGAGTCAATCCAATCCAGTTGACTCACTGTGGTCAGACTAATGCAGAATGGCAATATCGAATGAGCCCATAAAACAAATCACACACCACCATGTGACCTTTTGGGTTTCTTTGTTTTTCTGAGTCATGGAAAAACTGCAATAGCACATCTTCCTTTGCACAACAGATTAACACAGAACTCTTCAAGTATCATCCCACCAGCCAGAGCAGCTCACCAGCAATACTGCCAGATGCATCCATACTATAGACAACTGTTTGTAGGAGATGCCAAAATAAAACCCAAAAAACACCCAGGAGAAGGAGCCAGCAGATACCTCAGATGCAGTGTGGTAATGTGTGTGCATTAGAAAGTGGTGGGGAGAAACCACACAAGACTTCCCATCTCCCAGTTTTAGGACAAGTGAGGCCAAGCAGGTAGAAGATACCATGTGGCTACTGTCCAACTTTGCTTTATGGGGTGTTTAGCTATACCTACTGACCAATGCCTATTTACATTTCACCAGTTCCACTAATTAAGGGAATCCTGACATCCCTATTTTGCTGTGGTGCTCCTTGAATGTCGAGACTATCTCCTTTAACACAAATATCTGAGGAAATATTTTGTCCAGGTTATTTCAGAGGAGGCAAGACTCTCTCTCTCAAGTCACAGCTGCAATAAACTATACATTCAAGCAAGGAAAAGCAGTCTTAGAAAAAAATATAGGTGCTATATTATAGTTGTAACAGCAAGGCAAAGAAAGGGAGCAAAGAAGTGCTCCCTCTCCCCATTCAGACATAGATTTCTTTCTCTGGAAAATGTTAGGCTAAACAGCCTAATCTGCCACTCTTCCCTCCTCCTTTAACAACAGTTAACAAGAACAAGTCTAAAGAAAATTTGGCCAAGAATAGCAGATTTAGATATTAGGTCTCTTTGTTCAAAACAATTTAATACCACAATCCCCACTCCCAAAAAATACCCCGACCACCCAATAATTGAGGAAGGGGACAGGAGCGTCCTTCATCTTTACCACTGAAGAAAGAAGAGTGCGAAAAAAACACAGGACGCCTGAAACAGAAAAAGTTAGGTTACTTGGCTTTATAACCTAGCGAGGCAGACGGTGCCAAAAAATATGGACTAATTCCATGCCTTTCTCACAGAAGTTTCAGTTGTGCCTTATTCAACTGCCAGAATGCTAAGTACATTTACGCTGAAAATGAAATATCAATAAGAGGACAACATATATGCCATAGTATTTTTCAAGATTAGTTTATTAATCTCTCATAACTGCAAATGGTATTTTTAGTCGATGACATTGGAATAAATAACACCATCTCACCTTTCCCCTGCACCATGAATTTGGGATCTGTGCTGTAAAATATAACACTGCTTTGGTATTCATTACAATACTGTACTTAGCCACCAGCAAAGAAGGAACTTTGAAAGGGAAAACAGACTCCTCTGTTCTACTGCCTCATTCAGGCTTTCCAGTCAAGGGAAGTCTAGATGTTCTGGAGGCGTGAATATACTATTGCTGGTGTCTAGACAACATGGAGATGAGGAAGTTGCAGACAAACTACATGAGTATTCCCATGATTTTTTTCTGACAGTGGAACTATATAACACTGCTAAAAAGGCAGGTGACTAAAGAAAAGGCTTAATGTGGCCCAATCTTCAAAATATAGGAGAAAACTAACTGAATTACTGTTTTTCTTTTGAAGTATTTAATACACTTTACCAATTTATCAGCATGCATTAGGTCTCCCTTCTCTGCAGAACTGGCATCAACATCAAATACAATTCCTTAGACCAAAGGATGGATGAAGACCATACTTAGTTTTTGAGTACTATAATTATTTTATATTATAATGTAGTTTTGTAAACAGATAAAATAATGTATATTATAATTACTTATACTGCAATGGAATCAGGAATCATGATGGCATGGACAAGTGTTAGGTGCTGTATAACTACAAACTAAGACAGTCCCCAAGCCCCTAAATATATGAACAAAAAAGTTCCAAGATGTCAGTCCTGCCTCGGTTGCACATAATTCATAATAAACCCAAGAAGGATAAAAATTCCTTGAGAAGCTCATGTCTGAGTTTCTAACAGGTATTACTAATGGTAAGATTTAAATTCCAAATATATACTTCAAAGTCATTCATAAGCATCATGCAAATAAATTACGTATGTTATAGTAAGGACCTTATCTAGTTCCTTTGGTGGCAAATAAAAGCAGCATTTACTTCAGAAGGTATTCGATCAGGCTTATTTAAACAACGTGCATTGAAACTAATACATGGCGCTACTAGAAAACAGCTGAATTAATAGTACATGTTTTCCAAGAGGTATATCTCACAAACACCTTATGCTCTCCAGACAAAATACCCTTCATCCTTCATCATGTCTGTGGCAGTTTTAACAGCCTAGCTCTTTTCACTGTGTGCTTTCTACGCTTTCATCGCAGTAGCCCCCGAGTTCTTTCGCAGGGTCCTCTGTGCTGTCTCCCTCAGTGCCCCCTGTATCATTCCACAGTACCTCCATTCACCCCCTCAGCCTGCCAAAACCCACACTATCCGTACTGCCTGCACACACCCCCAAGCATACCCCAGCTCTGTGCTCCGTACAACCCCTCCACATCACTGGTACCTCGCTGTGCCTTGGCCCACACCGGTGTTACCCCATGGAGTTAGGAGTATCCTGTGTCTGCACCACAACCTGCTGTTTCGCTCACAGGAGAAGATATTTAGCTCGCAGGAGAAGGCTGCGGGTCAGTCCACAGCATGGTCCCAAACCCAGCGCCTAAGGACAGTGTTTCCCTTACTTTTCCCTTACCGTGGGGTAGACAGCCCCACAAACAAGGCATTCCCTCCTCTACCCATCACCTATGAGTTTTGTAAAAATAGAAACTTACTCTAATTACAGACCTCCCGTTTTTCATCAAACATGTTTAATATTGGCCAGCTAAGTCACAAATGGCGGTGAAGGGGAGAAAGGCAAGGAACGGCAGGCGAGCACACAGACAGAATGAATGCAGGAGCCCGATTTCCTTAGACACCGATTCATAAATTCTGTAGACAAATAGTCAACAACAACATGTTTGCATGTCTCTCCCTGTGACTGCCTGATAGCGATCTGGTATGCTGAAAGTTAAGGAAAAGGCCTTGAATGAAATACCAGCTTGTTTATACAGAAGATAAGAAACACTGAGTTCTGCCTGGATTTTTTCCTACCTATCATGTCTAATGTGAAGTAACCTTGAAGGCTTATCTAAGAATTTGTTATATACTTTCCTAACCCTGCCAGTCATAAAATAGTTATAAATAAAATATAAAAGAACAGCATATTCTCAAGTTTGGACTAAAATCTAGATTTTTTTAAAGTGAGTTTTTAATCAAGCTTAGGAATAAAGAACTTTTTTTTTTTTTATTTCTGTTCCTGAACTATTCACAACTTCATGGTTAATTAATATCACATAAAAGGAAACTGATTTTTTGCTGGTCCGGCAAAAGAATGATGCAGAAAATAAATAGTCAGGAAATAAAGATGCAGAA